TTGGGATGTTGCGTCTGCGGCTGTGCCGCCACTGGGCTACCGAGCTCCTCGAAGGCGGATGCATGCGCCGACGCTGGCACAGTCGCAGGACTGGCCGCGCCAGCGCTGTTGTTCCAACGGCGGCTAGCGCGGAAGCGCCCTGGGGTATCGGGACCAGTGGGGCTTGCGCCCGACGCAATAGGGATTGCCCCCGACGTGGGAAGAGGAGATGGAGGGTCGAAAGTAGGCGTGTGGAATACTCCTATGCCTGCTCCTACTCCTTCGCCTGTCCCCCCGTGGGCGGCGCGGCGGCGAAGTTCAGCAGCTAGTCGCGCCTCGGGTCCGTCGGAGCTGGGGGGGGGGGGGGGGGGGGGGGGGGCGGTATCTGGGGCGCCCGCGCGGTCACCTCCAAAGCTCTCCAACTCATCGCCGAGTATTCGCGCCGTCGGCGAGCTCGGACGCGAAGCCTCGAAGGACCCCTGACGGCGCATGCGCCGTCTGGGCTCCATCGAGGCTGCGAGCGAGATCGAGACGCAGGGTTCGGTGAATGGTGAGCTTTAAAGGCTGATAACCTGCGCATGGGGTTGCAGTACAAAGGCGCAAAACCCCTGACCCGTAGGTAGAAGCAAGGAGGGAAAGATGGGGACATTTTCCTCCTGCGCGACCAGCAGTCTGATCGACGCCAATACCTGGGCCTCAACGGCCAAGAGACAGGAGAGTAAGGAGAATTTATGGGGGTACTACACGGGTTCATTGCACAGCGGTCCTTCACGAAGCCTCTCTCGATGCCCCATGTGGAGGGCGAGGGGGAGGTGAAGGGCGGAGGAGGAAAAAGAGACGGAGGCAATTGAAAAGGGAACAACCTGAAACACACAAAGCCAACGCACTCGGGTTTACGATGATGGGCATGGCGAGCGCCACCCCAATTTTTTGAAACGCCCACATTTGAAGCACGCAGACCCTGGAAGATTGGCCACCTTGGACCAAAACTGCTCATGCGAGAAATCGGGGCAGACAGCGACCATAACGGCTAAGACGGGCGACCGCGGAGGAGTGGGACAACGACGACCACGACGATCACGACGACGGCGACGGACCACGGTCACAACGACGACGTCGGTAGGAGCCGAAAAAAAACACACACACACACACACAAAGGAATTTCACACAAAGGGTTTTGGCACCACCAACGGTGCACGCATGTGCACACATGCGACTGGATCCCCAGCGATCCGAACCAGGGTTGATGCACGGCCGCGCTCTAGGATGCAGTTGACATGTATGGTGTGGCAAGGCTGTCGGCGGCGACAAGATCCCCAAATCCGCTACCAACTAAAATTCCATGGTGGTTTGGCACAGCCAACCCACCGTGCAACGTCAGTTTGTTCATCCCTTGACAGCAGCACGCGTAGCGGCAGCAGAACGCAGAAGCACGCGCGGGCATGCAGGGCCGGCGATGTGGCTGGCCAGCTGCCAGCGCGATTTCGGCAAAAGAGCCAAAATGCACGCAGGATCGTTTTGGGCGTGGTATCCGGCGCAACTGCATCGCACTGCCAGGCGCCGGGGCCTTGCGATTGTAGCGCCAGGCCCCGTGCGCTCCTCGAGGCGGGAAAGCAAACTCTACACGAAGGAATCGCGCATGCTCTTGTGGGGGCGGCGAAAACGACCGTACACAAAGGAAATTCCTTTGTGCGCCGGCCGCGTTGGCAGCTTAACCAGACCGTATACAAAGGAATTACGCGAGACTTCGTGGCACACAAAGGAATTACAGCAACGCCCTTTGGGTTGCGCTCTTCGCGCGCGGCGACAGCTCCGAGCTGGAAAGGCAGGGAGGGCGGGACAAGGCAAAGCAGGGGAAGAGGAAAAAAAAGAGGAGGGCGAGAAAGAAGCGAAGGAAACAACGGAAGGAAGCCAGGATGCGCGCAAACGAAGCTAACACTGCGCGCCGAGACAGTTGTTCGTTCGTTCGGTTGGCCGTGCGGCTGATGAGTCGAAAAAAAAGAAGGAATGTTTGCTGCCTATCGAATGGGCTATTTGGAAATGAGACTCGCGTTCTCTTCCCATACCCCTTTCCCGCACCCGTTTGCGAGCGCGCGACATTCAGCTTTGCGGGCAGAGGACTGCCAGTTGCTGGTGAGCGGTCTTTGAACACATGCGACCAGCTAGACGCATTCGCCACGCAAACAGCCAACTCCAAAGACCGACGCCACACCGATCCCCGCATCCGTGCCAGGAACCCTCTCAACGACGCCCCCTTCCGGCGCAAAACCAATAAAACCCTTTGTGTTTATGTGTTTTCATTTTTCCTGTTCTGCGTCGGAGGAGGACGACGACGCATACCTACGACCACTGGCGCTCTCGACAATCTCCCTGGGACTGGCGACAACAGAACTACGCCGCTGACGACGACGGAGGGTAATTCAGAATCCGCCGACCCTTCGGCATGTGTGAGACGCTGTCGTCATCTTCGTTGTCGTCGACAGCCCCAAAGATATTTAGAAACGAACGGGAAAAAACGAAACGTCGTAAATAAGTCGGTGCCCTCCCTTTTTCCCCTCCATGACGGGGGGGGGTACGGGTGGGGTCAAGACACCCTCCTAGATAGCAAGCCGTCTAGTTCACTCCCGCCCGCCCTCCCAACATAGAAGTAACACCCGAGACTCAGCATGTTCAGCGCTCGTCTTTAGATGGGCAGCTACTGGGAACCAAAACCGACCCCATGTGCGCGACGCTGCCCGAGCGTGCCAGGCACGTCTGGTGCACCAGATTCGCCACGTGTTCCACGTGCGCCAGGTGTGCTGCATACTCCAGCCGCGCCAGGTGCGCCACGATCGGGGCACGTGCAAAGTGTGTCAGGTGCGCCTGCGCACGTGACGACGCACATCTGGAAACATGTCGGCCCCCACCACCCTTGTCAAAAACCAATGCACATCATTGTGTCTGGTGGGCCTGCGCGCAGCATGCCATACGCCACCACTCCCCCCGTCCCTGTCAAAAACCACTTCGCAATGATCGCTGGATGGCTGCGCGTGATCCAGGTTCATCCGCGAGTTGCATGTTGTATTATTGTTTGATAGGGATGGTGGCCCTGCGCAATATGCTGACACCCCCGCCGACCCTGTCAAACGACATACGAAGTGATCGCGGACCTCACGAACAGACTTTGCCCCAAGGTGTACTTTGTATTGGTTTTGAAAGGGATGTTGGGGGTGGCGCATCGGGTTGGTTGCGCATGCTCCGAATGTGAAGGCAGAATGCGTTTTGTATTGTTTTTCTGACAGGGGTGGTCGGGATAGTGGGGGAGGGAGCATGGTGTCCTCATCGCCTGTGGGAGGGGGCGTCTATTAATATGGAACAATAATAGAAGGGGGGCACAGGGGGGGTCCCCAGTCAGATTGCCGCTCCCCCCAGGGTCCCTGCGAACCCCCCTCCCCTCCCTGGTCCCCCTGTGGACAGGGAGGACAGGGGGGTCCCCCCTGGGGTCTTGGAAGGGGTTCCTCGAGGAGGTCCCGCCTACGGTGGAGGAGGGTGGTCCCGGATCAAAATACTGCCCCCCCGGAGTCCAGGCGGGTCCCGGGAGAGAGCGCCAGCGGGGGGATCCCACGGTCCTGGGGGAGGCCCGCGTTCAGGGTCGGCGGCACCAGCCGTAAGGACTTCACAATAATTATAGTTTCGACGCCCTTATTGACGGACTGGCATCTCACCAAGAGAGGAACATAAGTATTTCCCCGTGGCACCCGCTGTGCAACAACTATGACGACGAGATGAAGGAGAATATTGTGAGCAACGGTTTCGCAGAAGAACGTGCTGATCTATATTGCGATACTCTTGCAGACGTGCTCAAAATTCCTCTGTCGTGCAGGGTAGCCCAAGGACGATTCTTTCCAGGGAGAAAGAAGCCCCAGCAATATTCGGCCCGCTCGGCACTAGATGGAAATACATCTCCGCCGCGACGACGAGGATTACGACTACGACTGCGATTACGACTACGATTACGCCAACCACGACTACAATTACGACGACGATCGCGTCTGCAATCAAGATTTCAATCACGATTCCTACAATCACGAGTACAACCACAACCACTTATTCTTGTTGCAATTATCACGAGAGGATGCTCACAATCCTCTTGCGTGTAGGGTAGCCCAGCGGATTAGAACCTGGAAGAAAGAACTCCCCAACATTATCCAACCCGCCCAGCAATAGGGGAAACATAATCTCCATCGCAACGACGACGACGACGACTACCATTACGACTGCGATTACATCTACGATAACGACTACGATTACGACTACGATTCCTCCTTCTCCTTCTGCTCCTGCTCCCCCTCCTCCTCCTCCTCCTCCTCCTCCTTCCCTCCCCCTCCTTATCTTTCTCCTCCTCCTGCTCCTCCTTCTTTTGAATGAGACGAGGAGTTGCAGGAGGAGGACGAGGACCAGTGAACACCCAAGATTCATCACCGATGTTGGAGCAGGAGGGGCGGAGGAGGAAGAGGAGGATGATGGTGACGAGGAGGAGCAGGCGGAGGAGAGACCAGCTCCATTCCCCGCCGAGAAACACGAGGGGGTGCAAAACTAAAGACATCCTCAAATTAACTGGCTCCCTTTAACTGGGGTCCTAGCTACTCAGGAAACCGAAGGGTACCGATACCGTCAGTCCCCGGACCTCTCCCAGGATGCGTTCTGACCAGAATTTCGAGGCACATCCAGCGGTGGCGGTGAGGGCCTCCCAGGAGGCTCAAAACGGCGAAAACGAGGCAGGCGTAGCGGTATGGGTAATTCCAGTAGGGGATCGACTGTAGAATTGATTGACACCAAAATTGATTTCCCCGCCGAGATCGCGAAAGGCACGTAGACTCTGCCGTCGATGTGCGGAACATTCTGCGCATTTGCTTCGTAGACTCGGCGGGGAAAACCCATTCTGAGGCACATCAATTCTGCAGTCGATCCTATACTCGAGCTGAACCCAGCACGGCTGCAAGCAACGCCCAGCTGCCACCGTCACCGCCCCCCCTGGCGACCGCCAGCAGCGACGACGGCACCGCCAGGCCAACGGCGGGCCCCAGCGGGAGGAGCGGCCGGGGCGGCGCGCCTGCGGCCCGAGCTCCCCCCCCGGTGGGGGCATGGAGCGAGGCCCCGGCCAAACAGGGCCGACGAGCCAGGAAGGGAACCTGGCCGAGAAAAACAATCCCCACCCCAACCAGGGGAACCTTGGCCCCACTGGGCAATCTACCCTCCCCCCCGAGGTGGGGACGGGCACCGTCTCATTCGAGTTTCGGAGCACCCCTCCCCACCTTGACGGGGTACGCTGGAAGAGCCAACTTATCATGCCCCAATGGGGGTGAGGATGGTTCCGACGATGGTGAGGGAAAGCCAGAGGATCAGCAAAGACGCAGCTGAGGGCCGGCAGGTGCCATACAGTCGGACTTGATTGGACAGGGCACACGAGCGGACACAAGACCCTTCCGAGGGACACATTGCCATCGGGATGCGGGGCGGCCCTGGCGAGCGAAGGGGGGAACGAGAACGGACGAGAGGAGAAGGTCATCGGGTCATCATCGGGACGCCATCGGGACAACATCGGAACACCATCGGAACACCATTGGGACACCATCGGAACCCATCGGGACACGATCGGAACACTATCGGGACAACTTCGAGACACCATCGAGGCACCGTCGAGACACCATCGGGACACCACGTGGACGCCATGTGGACACTATCGGGACACAATCGGAGCACCATCGGGACAACATCGGGACACCGTCTGGACACCATCAGGACACCATCGGGACACCGTCAGGACACCATCGGGACACCATCAGGATACCACCAGGACGCCATCGGAACACCATCGGAATACCATCGGGGCACCAACGGGACACCACCCCCAAGCCACCGCCAGCCAAACAGCGGGACATCCCCAGGCGAGGGGTGGGGGCAACATGTGGCCCAGTTTCGCCCTAGCAGCGGTGAGTTCATTTCGCTCGCCCGCCCACGTAGCTTCGCCTCGCCCGCACGCACGATACGAATACGAAGGCGAAACAGATTTCCTGGTGGGGGGTCTGCGTTTCACTTCGACCTCACCGCCCAACCTCCGACTATGAACACATGTTGTATTTCACGGCCATGACAGGCGTATGGGGAGAGGGGGGGACGGGAGGGGGCATTACGTAGCGCCCCCCCCAGACTGTGATGCCAGACTGTGGTGCCCGGGACGCACAGAGGAGCGCAGCGTGACGTTTGGGGGGGGGCGGGGGCATAACGCGCGTTATGGCCCAGAGGGCAAAGAAACACTCGCTATTCGAGCGCTCCCGACCCAAGAACACAAGGCGGGATACCCAAGGAGCTCTGGCTTAGTGTGGGCCTGGCGGCCATGCACGCAGTCATCAATTCGGAGGAGGCACGAGGCGCGATATCCGAGGAGCACCAGCACGTTTTTTGTCGAGAAGTAAGAGGAAAGCTGCGGGGGCGAAAGCGGGCACCTCCACACGAACAGCTCAGCGAAGCGTGCGATACACCTCAGAGCTAATTCAAATACCCCGTGCAATCTAAAGGAGGCGAAACGCCAGAGATGCAGAGAAGCGGCCCGGCCATTCAAAATGGGGGGTCCTGCGAACGTGGCCGAGGAAGGGGAGAGGAAGCAGAGAGAGGAGACCGAGAGAGGAGAAGAGGAAGAGGAAACTAATAGCCCCAACATCAGGAGACAAACGAAACCCCGAAAAAAGGAAATGGCCCCGGGCACGGGCAGAGGAGTGAACGCAACATGGACCGACCTGCAATAGGCAAAACCATGTAGGTAACAGGGGAGAAGGCAAAGCAAAAGCGGCACTGCATAAACCACAGATAAGAAACCGCCCCTCCTCATCGTGTCTTAGGCTCGACGTGAGCGAGGATGGCACAGTAAAGTAGGAAGGAGGAGCGGAAGGAGGGGGAGGGGGAGGGAGGAAGCCCAATCGCAACCCGTATGGTTGCCTGGCGGGCGCCAGGATCTGTCAGGAGACATGGCGACTCAGACTGGAGGAAGACCAGGAACAAAAAGCCACTGGTTAGAGAACGAGGAGGAAGGGGAACGGCACGCGGGCACTGGCGAGTCTGACTACGAGGAGCTCTGTCTCCCTCGCGCGGGGTCGGCGGAATGTGCGCAAGCCCTGCTCCACGGGCGGTGCGCGTGACGGCACTGGAGCCTGGTATGGGGCGCCGCTGTGCAACGGCACGCCGTTGGCGCCCAGACGGTGCAGGGCATGCGGCTTGGTCACAAAACTTGCGTTCACAATTCCTCGACTTGCACATGCAACCGCACCACAAACTGACTGAACTAAGCCACGACTGGGGCGGAAATTCGGGCAGTTATTCGCCCGAGATAAGTATGCCATTAAAAACATGATCCTAAACACTGGCGGAAATTCCAGCCAGGGAGCGGGGAAAGCATTCAGGTCACCTGGAACCTTTGGGCCCCCGCGGCAACACGACGCAATTCAACGCACTGGAAGCGAGAGACGCGAGACGCTAACTGGCTGCACTTCTCCACAAACGCGTACACTATACACCATCCTGCGGGTCTGAGGTGGCACAGCACCGCACAGGGCCGGCCAGCAGGAAGAGGGGGGCAAATACGACGCGCACCACGTGTCAACCCGACCCGTCAAAAGCGTGCCGCGGCGATGTGTGTCCGAATCTGTCTGGACCGGGGATGTCGAAAGTCTGCCCATGCGCGCCCTGCCCGACATGCGGCCCCCGAGGTGGACGACTCAGAAGAGCAACAGCACCGGGGGGCGAAGGAGGGAACGACACCCGGGGACCAGAACGAACCTGGAGCCAGGGGAGGGAGGATAGCGAGCGACAAGGAACGACCGCGCCGAGGGAGGGCAAGAGAGGAGGGCGAAGCCCAGGCGACAGCCCGAGGGACGAGCAGGAGGGAGAGCAGGCAGAGGAGCGACGGAAGACGGCGGAAGGAGGGACGGCGACACCACCCGGAAGGGAAGCGGCCGGGAGAGCAGCGCTGGCATTCAGCCGGTCTCCGCGGTCATCGCTTACCTGCTTCAGACGGGTTGGAGCCCGAACTCAGCTGCCCAGTGGGACGCGACGAATGACAGTACAGTTGACAGGCACGCGTGGAATTTTTCCTCGGCTGCCATCACTGGATTGGACCAAGTCATGCCTCTCTTGGACGAGTCCGAAGCTTCGATCGACCGACGGTTGTGGCGTGAAGCCGCGGCGCACTACTGCGGAGGAGAACTGGAGGAACGGGGCGGACATGGCAAGTCATCGCCATTTTCTGCAAAGTCTTCTGGACGGATAGAACGGCAGACAATTGTCCGAGTTGATGCTGGCCATCGCCGTCCGGGGCACGTGGCATCAGAAGCGGAAGTTCGATGTTGGCATGGCGGACGCCATCGGGTGCTTCAGATGTCGGGACGGGGCGGATTCAGCTCGGCATCGCACGTGGCTGTGTACTTGCAATGGTGGAGGCAAGGCTATCGAGGATTCCAATTTCTTGGTGCCACGTGCAATTGCCGACCAGCATAGGTTCCCTTGTTCTTGGATGAGAGGCATTCTGCCAGCAGCTTGGACGTCAGTTTCGACACCAGTGGAGAGTCCAGCATGGAGTCACGACAATGTTGCAGGAGAATTGGAAGGTTTTTTCTTGGTCACGGGACTCGTGAGGCTCCTCTCATCACGTTTCGGGGTGCGTCGGGAGGAGCCGACGCACGACCCGCGCCTCAGGAGGATTGGACTGGGCATCGCAGTACTCACGAGCGAATCACTTCCAGTGCTGGGGCCTTCTATCCTGGGGCCGTTATGGGGCACGCAGGCCCAGCTGATGGTTTCACGCGGAGAACTCCAGTGTCTAGCGACGGTCATTCGTCACACATCTGTTGTAGTCATATATGTTTCGGACAATGATGAAAGTTGTCGGGGTTGGTGGCAGTCAGCGTATTCACGGCCCGAGCCGAACGCAAACGTCTGGAGAGAGATAGGCGAGGTGCTGCGCAGTCAGAGCAAGACGGCCGCCGACACAATCGTTCTTCAGGTATCTTCGCATCTCAGCCCAAACGAACTGCTGTCCAGAGGTATTCAAAGTTGGCTGATCCAGGGGAACGAGGTGGCCGACGGCCCTGCCGAGCGCGCGGCAACCAGGGCCAGACTCGATGAGGGCCATCGGAGCAGAGTGGACAAGGTCGAGCAGGATGCGGTGTTTGTGAGGAGACGTCTCCAAAGAGTTGCCCTGCTCACTTCGAGGGCGGACAGCGAGAAGAAGGCTGCCGAACGAAGGAGCGTTGTTGAGGGTGCCTCACCTCCTCCCCCCCCCGCCGCCCCCTCCTGTGCCCAGACCTAGGCCTGCTGCTCTTGCACGCTTCGCGTCCTCGCGCGTCCTGACAGAGGGCGGACGGGCGTGTAAGATCTGCAACTCGTCTAGCACCATCGATGCTGAGCGCGAATGGCTTAACAATGAATGCGAACCCCTTGAGACCGTTGATGGTAGGACCTTGAAACTCCCCCGGGGGCGTCATCTACACAGCCCTGGAGGTTGGGCCCACCCCACGCACAATTTGGTTCATGGTGAATTGTCTCGGGTTCGGAAATAAAAAGACTGCAACTTTTTTGCCCGAGATCAACCCCGTGGCCTCGGCAAGCCGCGCGAAATCCAGCCCCTGACATGGAGTCGTCGCGAATACCTGGGCAGGTTCTCTCGCGTCCCTCCCCCAAGGCTCCCAAGGCTGGTGTGAAGTAGTCAGTAGAATGGTATGGCACCTGCGACGGTGGTAATCCTGGTGATCCTCCCCCTCCTCCTCCTCATCCTCGTCCCCCGCTTGCCTCTTACCTGCTTTAGGGGGCGAGTCCATTGAGGTACCCCACTAAAAAAAGAAAGTGGCAGATCCTGGGCCACCCCGATCAGATTTTGCCACCCCAGGAAACAGGGGCGACATCTGGAAACAAGGGCCTTGAGATCAGGAGGAAGCTTCCCGTCCAACAACGCCCTCCCCACCCTCCGCCCATAGTCTGTGAGGCCAGGCGCGCATGTCCTCCCGAGCTTCAGCAGCTTGCCTCTAGAGGGAACGCCTGAGCCTCCCCAGAGCTGGCGTCAAT